ACTGTTTGGAAACAGGTGTAAATGGAGCGGGAGCGGGAGCGGGAGCGGGAGCGGGAGCGGGAGCGGGAGCGGGTGCAGGAGCGGGAGCGGGAGCGGGAGCGGGAGCGGGTGCGGGAGCACGAAAGCGACAAAATCTAAAATTTGGTCAGAGCGGGAGTGCCTCAAGAGCGCTTTTAACCTTTTATGCTATTATATGTGTAACATGTTTTCAATATTTGTGTGAAATAATATAAATGTAATTTCATAACCACTAGAAAATCTGTTTGAGCTATAAGTGATGGAGAACAATGGCAGAAATCTTTAAAGGTGTATAAAAGGCACAAAAAGGAGGATTCTAAGATTCAAGCTGGCATAGGTTAGATAATACGGGTCAACATGGAAGTTTTGAATAATTGGGAGCTTGGTCAACTTTTAGTTACTTTAATTATGCTATTAGGTAAGTATTGATTACCGTAATTATGGGGTAATCCAAGGGTCAATTGATTGCCTCAATTATGGGGTAATCCTAGAGTCAAAAATTGATTACCTCACTTATGGGGTGATTACTTTTATTATGTTAGAGTCAAGTATTGATTGCCTCAATTAGGGGTAATGAGGTAATCGAAAGGTCATAATATGCTATAAAAGGGGTAGAATGTAATCTTGGTGAATCAGTGAATGAATGAATAAAAAAATATCCTTGAGATTTCTTTGTGAGTGATTCACAAATTATGAGGGTGTGAGGCCTTCTCTAAGTGTGATACCTAGGCCCTATTTAAGTGATTCCGATAGGTTATTGTTTTCTGTTGGTGTGATGCCAATAGGATTTTTCTTTTTTTCAAATCCTTTCTCTTTTTTGAACCATAATTTGTTTCTCTAACCCTAATGGTGTGATGCCAATAGGCAGCTCTTATTCTATTCTCCTTAATTTCCTACATTTCTACTATCAAACCTCCAAATTTCAGTCCTAGTTCTTTGAACTTTCAGCCTCTGAATTCTTTAAGTTCTTAACTATTTAAGGCTAACCATATTTCTTCTATGTTAAAAAATACAAACATTATTAATAATTAAAATACAAAAATTATAGCATATTTTTTATTTGTAAAGAAATGCAACCTCAAAAATCTATATATTTATTCTAAATTCTTAAAGAAATATTGATTAAATTTTCGTGCATGAAATGAATACTTTAAAGAAATATAAATAAACGTCTTAACTAAAAAAAATTATGGGTATAATTTGTTTATGAATGTATATATGTCTATACACTGTACACACGCATTTAATATTTGTAGACTTAATAACATAACAAAAGTGATCAATATAAAGCAAACAACAATATGACAAGGATTTGTTATTCTTCTTTCGTATTATAGGTTTATTCTTAGTTCTGCATATTTCTAAATGTTTTTATTTAGTATTAGGTACATTTTGGTAATTGCCTTCAATAATAAATATCACATGTAGTTGTCCATAATTCAATGAATGAGAAATCGTTTTGAATTCAAGGATTCAAAGTTGAATTCGTGAATTGACAAATTGAATTCATGAATTATGGAAGAATTTGATCCAAGAGCGCCAATTCGTGTGTAGAGCATGAAAGCGGCACCCCTTTGAAAGGATTGTGTGACTTAGGTTCCAACACAAGCGTCTATTCTGCATTAGCAACAGTCTGGCTGGTCTAACTTGAGAAACTGAGTTCCTAGCTGTAAGCCAACTCGTTAAGGGGAAGACGTCCCTTGTGGTTTCCATAGATGTCCCATGGCATGGCCTGTCCTATGTACTTTTGATCTTATCCATTAGCGCGGCCACGTCACAAGGATTAAGGAAGACTTGTACAAACAAGTAATGTTCCTCTTTTATGATAAGTAAAAATGTATTAGAAAGCGTTCAAAAGGCGAACGCATTCCAAGAACTACACAAAAGCCGAAGCCAAAGAAGAGGGATCTCAAGTGAAAAAAGAAGTAATGTTCCTTTTTCACTGTTTGCATGTTTTTGAATTAAAGCATTCTGGGACTCAAAAATGAAATCAAGTGACCCCTAAATAACTTCCTTGCCATTTCATTTTAAAATTCAACTTGAAAGCATGGGCTGAGCTCTTTTTCTCTTACGGGGCCTAGAGATTCAACACCATTCACTTCTTGAGTGATTAACTTACATATTGTAGTCAGACATCCACGTACAGTCAAGAAAAGCTTGGCCATTAAAATCAAGTTTTGTCTTCAAGCCCACTTTTAAGTCCCAAGTCTTAAGCCTGAATCATCATGCAACATACCATCACTTTACATCGATTCTAGCTCTCACCAACCACACAGCCCCATGGTCTTGAACATCATCTTCAATATAGAGTTCCTTCACCATGTGCTTGATCCAATTTGTATGCTACTGGGTACTTGAGCTCAAATAATTTCCTGAATTACATCACACTCAAGTGGACAATTAAATTCTGACATTAATAATTTATTATCGTCAAAATCACCAAGTTTCACTTGGTTTGAAACCTTGGGGACAACACACTATATGAGGATAAAGTTCTAAGAACAACCAAGACATAGTTTTAATAATATGAAAACTTGAAATGTAGTTTGATGCAAATTGCAAATACCAGCGATTATGACTACAGAAGTCTATGGATGTCCTAAATAACATTTCATATAAAAGAATATACTACTAATAAAAAAGCACTAGAGGCAGTGTGCCCTGCTTACACACAAACTACAAGGGGAGAAGCTGCTACACTAGAATCCTTCCGTGTAGGATGAGTGTCCTAAGAACTACAAATAATAAACATTGTAAAAACACTGAGAAAACTAAAAGAAAAAGTGTCCAAATTAGTCATATAAACAAGAATCTCCATATCCTCAAACGTATGCCTATTTCACTCACACTGCACACTCCACATATGATAAAATGGCCAATCTGCCAATCCTGACCAAGTCTTTTCATAAAACAACAACAACAAAGAAGATCCTCCATGGACTATTGTGTAATCCACTGTATTACAAAGAAAGAAAGAAAGTTGTGCTACAACTCACACTAGCGGGAAGAATGTTTAAGGCAATTAATGGCTCTTCATTCTTCTTGTGCATGCAACACCAATTCTTATCATCTTACCTTAATTTCCAAATTATCCATCATCAACATAGCCTCCCAAGGCACATGAGAGAGAGAGGGGGGAGGGAGGGAGGGACTTGAGAAGGCACTTTAGCCTTCAAAATACCTTCGAGGAGAACTTGACCTCTCTCATTCACATAAAACCCTATAAAATCTCACTCTAAATAGACCATTAAAAAGATTCCACTTCAGAAAGTCCATCCTATTCTCATGCATATAAGGGCTATATAGTGCCCCTAAGAATGCATCCACCAGCTCCAACTCACTATTATGAAAAAATCTAAAAAAGGTGTGGCCCCCACAACATTCTGATGATAAGACAAGAACCCCTCTGTCAGATGAAGTCTCAAATATTGTTCTAATGGTTTGCACATCTGATGGTGTGCAAAGTCAATAAAATTTCATGATAGAGATAATCGATTCTGTTATGTTACGCCCAGTATGGCCCTGTGTCCACTACACCACGTTTGCGTCAATGCCGAGTCCACGTCTTCGACTTATGGTTCATACAACTAGCGTTCAAATGCTCTACAAGACTATAAAGCCCTTCAAGGACTTCTTAAAGATAAAGATAACGCTGATGGGGAAGCTAAGTGCCCGTGACAGTGATAAACGCCAGCAAACAAGTTTGGAGTGGAAAATTGCTAAAAGTACTGATATGTACAACTTTAAACACTAAAATACAATTTTTCCAAGTGAAATTCCTGAGAGTTAATAAAAATAAAAATAAACTTATCAAAAAACAAATCCTCAAGTATATGAAAGAGTGAACAAACGCAAGAAAGATTAGTTACTAATCAGCCATAGAGAGGAAAGGTTCTTTACTAGGTAAATCCATCAATCCACAAAATCGTCTACATGCTAGTAGAAAATTTGCACCCCTGCTTGTCCCAAAATGGCGCGGCCCAATAGGAAAAGCGTCCAAGAGTTAAAAATAAGAATAGATCCAAGATTCCTAAATAGACAACCATCGGCATTGATGTTTTAGTAAATTGAATTCGCTTTGGACCACTAAGCCTAAAAGACTTAACAAATGAGCTAAAACGAATATCGGTTTGAATTCTATTAGGCTCTGTTCCTAATTGACGTGCTAGAGTCTTTATTTGGATAAATCAATTAATAGTTTTAATTGCATAAGTTCTAGGGGGTTTTGGCTTCTAATTCTTTAATTTTTTTACTTTTTGATTATGTATAAATTTTCGCACATTTCGAGCACAAAATTGAACTTTTGTTGGGTGTTTATATATATATAGATATATATATTAAAAATAAAACACAAGCCAAATACACATTAAAGATGTTTCCGGAATGGTAAACACAGGTCAGAAATCAAGTGGCAGTCTAATAAAAAAACCTAAACTCAATAGAATAGATGATTCAGCAGCCTCCTTGAGGAGACCAGGTTATTGCCTTGGCAAACTTCTCCACAGAAGAAAAGGCCACCTAATAGCAATGTCAGGAGTAAGTCATAAATAAGTCCAAGGGTCAAATGAGTGGTGAAACAACCGGCTTATTTTACCAAAGACTTCCAATTCCTACCAGAATAAACTATAAACAATTTAGAGACTTGAATCAGCTTAAGCACAACAAAGTGATGACTGAAGAGAAACTCTTAAAGACATCCATAACACCAGCTATGAAACTAAATTGTCCAATTTGCAATGCTAATAACTAGTAAATGTAAGGATCCAAATATTCACCATAAAATAATAATAACAATAATAACAATAACAATAACAATAACAACAACAACAACAACAATAATAACAATAACAATAACAATAACTTATCACAGTTTCCAAAATTAAAAATATATAAATTGAAATTCTCAATAAAAGGCAATTCAATTCAATTGATGAGTACAAAATAAAATTCAAAATTAATATATAATAATAATAATAATAAACCTGATTGCCGAGGAAATCGAGAATATGGACAGTGCCATCGTGAGTACCCAGAGCGATCATTCGCTCCGCAACGGTGATACACGAAGCTGCATCGCTGGATAGAAGAGAAGGCACACTGCCCCCCATTCTCTGGTACTTGAGCCTCGGCTCATCCTCCTCTTCCTCTTCTTCCTCCTCCTCTTCTTCTTCGTCTTCTGAAGAATCTTCCTCTTCCTCTCTCTCGTCATCTCCTTCGATTCCATTCTCTGATAGCTTCGGAGACATTGTTAAACTCTCTCTGACCGGATTTGGATTTCGATTTGGAAGAGAATTGAAATGAAGCGAATGATTGAAAGACAGCGAGATCGGTTTGGTTTGGGTATCCTTTTAAAAGCTGTTTTGGGTGGGTTTAGGGATGTGTTTAACGGGGCGCAAATCCTCTGATGCGATTATCCTGCAGTTCATGCTGTCCATTACAAGTAACGTCGCATCACCATTTATAAATAGGAGCCTAAAGCATGGTGTAAGAGGATAACATTACTATTTAAAAAGGTAAATATTTTTTATAGCCAAATACCTCGTAATCATTTAACTTAAAAAATATATGGATAATTTTATTAACATTTCTAGTAGTTTGGTGAAATATCAGTCTAAAATATTTTTTGAAAATAACTATCACTCACATCACAAATATTTGCTTCATTTTTTACTCACACCCCAAAAGTTAGTTGACAAGTGTGTCAAATCACTTTTTACATGTAAAAAGACATTCTTACCCTTTGATTTTGGTTTGACCCACTTAATGACATGTTTACCCTCATTTGACTTTAATTTGACTAATTAAATTATTTTTTTAAGTATTTAAATGACATTTTTACCCCTCCCCCCCCCCCCCCCCCACACACACACACATATATATATATATATTACACACAAGCACAACACCACCACCAACACCGGCAACCACGACCAACACCGGCGAGGATTCCAATTTTCCTTGACACCACCACCAACACCGGCGACCACCACCAACACCGGCGAGGATTCCAATTTTCCTCATATATATATATATACACACACACACACACAAGCACAACACCACCACAACACCGGCGAGGATCTTGGCGCAGGAGACGGTGGCGCATCAGGTGAAGGAAACGACGGCGGGGCAGGTAAGCCATCATGGTGACGAGCTCCCGGGCAACGACGGCGATGATGTCGGCACAAGAGACGACGGCAGGGCAGGCGAGATCGAGGGCAGTCTTGGCGCGGACGAAGACATTGAAGGCGTCGCCGGGGACGAAAAGGTTGATGTTGGACCGGCGAGTCACCAAAGCCTTTCTGAAATTGGAGGTTTTTTTACAGAGAGAAAGGGGAAATTCTGAAATTGAAGGTTTTTTAGAAAGAGAAGGGGAAATTCTGAAATTCGTCGTCGCCCATCACCGTCGGGATGTCGGATTACAACCTCGACGGCCATCACCCATCACCTGCCTTGCGCCGCCCATCATCTGAAATTCGTCGTCGCCATCATCGTCCGAGTTAGACTCGGTGGTGGCAAAGGTCCGAGTTAGCACCTCCGCTGGCGACACACCACCATCACCATACCGCCACCTCCACCAACGTGGTCTTCAATTTTCGGTTGAGTGTGTGTGTATGCGTGTGTGTGTGTGTGTGTGTGTGTGTGTGTGTGTGTGTGTGTGTGTATATATATATATATGACTCCCCAGAAAAGAGTCATTTTAATTGTATAATTTAAATAGGGGTATAATAGTAATTAGGTTATCTGATACTTTGGAATAAATGTGATTAAAAAATTAGGGACAAACATGTCTTTTCCCATGTTTTTAACGGAGGCTGTAACGGAAAAGCGAAAATGGACCTAAGTGATAGTTATTTTCGAAAGATATTTTAGACTGATATTTGGCCAAACTACTGGGGGTGTCAGTGAAATTATCCCAAAAATATATAAAGCATGTTGAATTAAGTTAGATTTAGGTGCGATTATTAGTTTTTCAGCAGTACGTGAATACCTTTTTTTTTATGGCAAAGGTGGTGACTATAACAATTAATATTAAATTTTGTTAAATTTTTTTTAAAAGATATGTTAAATAATTTATACCTAAGTGTATGTTGCTTTAATATTTGAACCCAAAAAAAAAAAAAAAAAAACAAAGAAAGAAAAGAAAAGAAAAGATGTGGCTCTTTTCATTATTTTTGGAAACAATAAGTGTTTTGTTTGTTGTCTAAAGTTAATCCAAGTGATTTTAATTTTAGTTTAAATTCTTTAAATTAACATGTTAAAGTGTTTTTAAAATACTTTAATTTCAAATTATAATATAGATGATATGTTGAATTGAGTTACATTTGTATGTTACATTATTTAGTCTGCAGTATGTGCATACCTTATTTTGAGGGTGAAGATACTTATAAATGGTGGAATAATTGCCAAACACAATCTTGGTGTCTATTAATTGAAGTAAAACATGATCAAATATAGATTACTTAACACTCACTTCAGGAGACAGCATGGGAATCACACTTGCGCCTATGTATAACGAGTAGCGTTGCTACATAAAATGATAGGGAAGACCGAAATTTTAGCCGAATCTAGACGTGGACCTAAACTTTTTGAATAGCTTACTCACAAATAATGGACGGTAAGAATTCGAGTTCCCATAAGAACAAAATGATTTTTTGAGATTTTTGTTAAAGGAAAAAAAAATTATTTGAGTATATGAGAGTCTAAAAATTCTTATAATTTAAAATTTTATTACAAATTGTTCATTGTTAGTTAATTTTGATCAATTTTTTTTATAAACTATTAAATTGAGCTAGCAAATCGCTAAAATTCTAGGATACATAATATGACGTAGTAGACTCTAGTAGTGAGAGAAGCAAAGGAAAGAACATCTGATCCGTGCACACATGAAAGCGTTGTGGTCCTGAATTGTTTATTTATACAAGACATGAGTTGGGTCGGTTAGGTTTTCAGCTAACCTAGTCGTTTAATGCCTTTTTGGTGCAGTTTTAGACGGTTTGCTTGTATTATTATTTATTTGCAATGAGACAAGAGAGCCGTGACGAAAGGCACTTGCCACCTGCCCTTCCTTTTATCCCTCTTTAGTTTCTAGTACTTTGTTTAGGATTACCAACCGTGGTCACTTTCTTTGGGGTCAATTTAGATGGGGCTTCCAAATTTAATAATAATTCAGTATTTCACGATAAGATGTTATAAAAAAATAAAAATTGGTTTTATAATCATATATATATATTTTTTGGTCTAATTAGACTTGACAATAGGCTTGGGCACAGGCTGAAAATAATCACCACGCCCCTTACATATAGTGTGAAACTATATATTTTTGATAAATTCCAGACTTGGATTGCAAGTAAATGCTTTAATTCTATTCATATTTTTACTTATATGTCATATTGTGATTAATCTAAATCATGCAGTATGTTGAAATATATAAGTATTTTTATATAATTGTGGAGCAAAATCCTCCACCAATTATGGTGATCCAGTTAATTTTCTTTCAATTATAAATATTTTTATATAATGGTGGAGCAAAATCCTCCACCAATCTTGGTGCCTCCTTTGATTATTGTATATCTTCCATATATTCGTATCTTTACCATGCCTTTATATATGCTCTTTGTACTCAAGCGATATACAGACCTAAATAATAAAATGTAGCACTTAGTAGCTCTTTGTCCATAGATGTAGGCCCTGAACCATGTATATGCCTGTGTTCCCCATCTTTTTCTTTTTCCTTTTCATATTTGCATTTATTATTTCCGCATCAAATTTTAACATGGTATCAGAGTCAGGATAAGAATTTTTTTTCTTTTTCTTCTTCGTATTCCGTATTCCGAATATCGTATTTCGAATTTTATTCTCGTTGTTAGTTTAAATGGCAATTACTTCAGGCGCAGCTACCGTACCAACCCCGACTCCGGCACTGCAGATCATAGTTCACCAAGACAATTCTGCATTTTGGTGTGTCGTGGAGTCAAGTATGCAAAAAGAGGTGAAGTGTGTAGTGTGGCCAAGTTTAAATTTAGAGAATGCCACTACCACTACTAACTATAAATGTAGCTAGAGTAAGTAGGGATCGTCCCAAGGGAAAGGAAGTGTATTTTTGCTTGGAAATCAATGTCGGATTAGTAAGTCAAATGATCAAAAGATGGTTTGATTGGTTAATTAAACTAAGATACAATTAAAATAATGCAAGTGAATAACAATCAAAAAATTGGGGAAAAGATATAGGAGAGAGGGGTCTTGGGACTTAGAGTTCACCACTAAGCATCACCTTCCTAGACATTCAATGTTTGATAGATTAGGGGGATTATATATTGCAAAGGAAAGTGTGTGTCATTAATTACATTATCAAGAATGGATAGCCAAGTAAGCATATATAGTTTAGCCAAACTAGTGAATAGCACAACATATCAAATTAAGCCATTATTCCTTCCTTTAAGTCCACAATTAATGCAAATTCATCAATCTAGAGAAATATACTACTTGTATTCATGAGTACGGAACATCAAACAACAAGCATGGATTGTCCACCTATTTAAGAAAATAAGGTAATTACACTACAACTAAGCTAATGACATGAAAATTAAACTGATTAAACTAAGAAGGTGACACAATCCATCAAGAAATAAATATGAATCATCAAATAAACCACAAGAGTAATCTATTTAAGCACCATGCCTTGACCATCACTAGATTCATAGTGTGACAACCTTAAATTTTAATTAAGTCTTCCCTATGTTTAGGACCAGAATTACATGATTTTTAATTTAATTTCTTTCTACCTATTTTATGAGTTGCATTTTCAACATTAGTACATCCCTAATTGCTTGGAATTTATTTAAATGCATCAGAAGTCATTAACTTGATTTCTACCTATTTTACACAGTTCGTTTGCAATTTATAATTCCTTAATTGTTTAGTATATATATTTTTGATCTGGTATTTAATTTATAGTCATAAGTTTCATTTAATTTTTCTATTTTACTCATGGGATGAATTTAGTTGTTAACAAAAAAATAATAATAATAAAGAAATAAATAAAATGGGTAGGGCCATTGAGTGATTACTTTTGGAAATGAGGGAGTATTGGGATATTAATAAAAGGTGGTTTAGTGGGTTTGCATGTGGCAGCATATAGGGGATCCAGAACTAGGTGTCATTCATATGCAAAAACTTGGAGACACGTTTAATTATTTAGCACTACACTTGTAACTAGTTCCCTCATAGTTGTTGCATGCCAAACCAAAAAGAAAACTCCAAGCCGTGGGTTGTCTGACAGAGAGAAACAAGAACAAAAAGTGAAGAAGAAGAAGAAGGGAGGCTAAAAATGTAGGCATTTTACCCTCACACCATCTAATCTCACCACCTCCAGTTATTACCTTCAATTGGGTAGGGATTCTTTAACTCTTGCAGCCTTGAGAGTTATTTCTTTAAAGTTCTGTTTCTCAATTTAATGTTCCATGAAATTATAGTTTTTCTTGCTGCAAGTACATGATTTTCTTGTAGTCGGATGCTTGATTTTAGCTAAGATATTATACATATGCTTGGTCATGATCCGAGTTTTGGTTACACACAAGTATTGCTTATGATTTTATTTTAGAACTCTACACAAGTAAATGTTTTCCAATCAGAACTTAGCATGTTAATAGACTGATGTATATTATCAATTCTACGCCAAAATAATTCTGCTTAGATTCTGGAATGTTGTAATTAAGTTGTCTTCAATTGTTTAGGTTGAATTATTCTATTACTTAACTTTGGGACTAGGAGGATGATGTTCCGGCGAAAAGGGTGAGCAATTAGGTATGAGCTACCCATTGGTGGAAGACCATAAACCCGAAGCGGTAGACCCTAGATGGGTATTCAGAGTTGAATCCCTACTAGTCGAAGGGGGAGAGATAGTTGGGATCACTCTAATTGAAGTAAAGTTGTTTGACAAAAGGCGCAAATGAAGATTAGCTCTTTACTAACTCACTTTAACTCTTAAATGGTTTTGGAACTAGGATTTTCTTTTAGCTACTTTTTTAATTCCATCATGTTATAATTGGTCTTGGTAGAAACTTGGCCAACTATTCTCGTGTAAATCAGATCATGTACCTAAAACCTCATGGAGGCATTTGTGAAAGGCTTTCCTACTGGGTATTGTCTAACCCTTTTTATTTTTCAGGTCTTGGTGCTCAAGATGGCGATGCTAGACCCGAGTTGTAGTTCCCATAGATGGGATCCTTTTGTGGAGCATCTTGTGCTTGGTGTTTTTGTGTAAAATATTAGCCTTAAGTACTATATTGTTTATGTTTGATGCCTTATGAAACCATGTTAAGGTCGTGGTTGCTGTGCTAGAGTGACGATGACAACGTGCTCTCTACTATGTGTTCTTTAGGACTGGGTACTGTATCTAGATGTTTTGTGTATAGCCTGCTAATGGTAGCATATGTACTTAGTGACTGGGCATCAGAGCTGTGACTCTTTATTTTGGGTGTACAAATTTGGACTGAAATTATCTTTCTATGGATGACTTTATGCAACGTATATATTCTTAGCATCTTTAGAACTTTGTTACACCTATGTATTATATAAGTTGTTCATGGGATAAACTCTGAATTTCTATTAGAGGGGTTTTTTTTTAATTATTTAAAGAAGAAACAAAAAAATCTGTTTTAAAATTTCTCTAGTTCTTGCCTGGAAATGAATTTTAATCAGAGGTTGTAGTGCTTCAAATGCTGTAAAATTTTACCATATGTTTCCCCTTTGTGTATAAAGTCTCTCACAAAATTTTTATAATTTTTTGATCAGTTGATATTTTTTTTTAAAATCTTATATCATCTGCTGTTTGGTTTCTGGTCACGGTTTGGAAACTGAATTTGAGAAAAGAATTTGATAGCCTTCCCGACATCAATAAATTATGAAAATTTCCAGTTTTATTATTTCAAGTGTCTAGTTTCTAAAGGTTAAGGCCCCAAAATTTTTATTGGCTTTCTAAAAGACTAAGCAGGCCAAAGTTTTGCACTTGGTTCCAATTCAGCACAAGCTGTGAGAGCCTTCTTCCTTCCAAAAACTATTTTCCTTGGTGTTTTTCTAGCATCCGGGAGTGGCTCCGTCACATTGTAATCTGAGTCTAGTTTCTAAATAATTTTAGTTTGCTTCATTTTGATAATAATTGAATTTTCTACGAATTTTTAAGTAATCGCTGCGCAGAATTTTCTTAAGTTGAGAACTGCTGTTCCATTTTTTTTTTTTGTTTTAACCTTATTATCATGCCCTATGGTTTTGGGGTGTGACAATTTTTGGTATCAGAGCTTAGGCTGTAGTTCCTAAGGGGTAATTGACATTTTGTGACAACATGCTGTAAAATGTAAATTAAATTGCATTTGAATTTGTTAGATGACACATGAACCTTACTTTGCCATATATGTGCTTGTTTGCTAAACAAAATTGCAACTTGATTAATTGAATATTTTGATGCTTGCACATACGTCTGTTCTATAAATATGTGTACACCATTTTGTTTAACTAGTTAGTTACTTAAGTTGTGTTTGATAGCTAAGGACGCCAAACCAGTCACTAGGGCCTCTAGCTCTTCGCTCATGAATGAAGAAGGACTTGAGCCAGTCACTAGGGCCTCTAGCTCTTCGCTCATGAATGAAGAAGGACTTGACGGGGTGTTGCTAGCACTCCGAGGACTCCCAGCTATTATGGAACGGCTAACTCAAATAATTACAGTTCCCAAACAACCTAGGGAGCCAACTGTTGCAGAAAGAAAGATGGAATTCCTCTCAAAGTTTCGAAAGCTGGATCCTCCAAATTTTCATGGGAACACTAGCCATGACGTGTGTGATGCTGAAAGATGAATAAAAAAAGTCAAGAAGTTATTTGAAACGGTTGGTATGCCAGAAGAATTCAAGGTGTGCATGGCATCTTCGTTACTTTTTAATGAGGCTGATCATTGGTGGGACACTATCAAAGCAAGGCACGACGTGTGAACTATGACATGGCAAGTTTTCGAGGAGCATTTTTATGCCCAATACTTTCGGCAGGTTGTTCGTGAGTCCAAGCTACAAGAGTTCATCAACCTCTCCCAGCGAGATATGACAGTTTCGCAATACGAAATCAAATTCTCAGAATTGAGTCGTTTCGGACAATGTTTGATAGCAATTGAGGAGATGAAAGCTCGCAAGTTTGAGAAGGGATTGAGGCATTCCATACGAGAGAACGTAGTGGCCCTGGGTTTACGGGAGTATACCAAGATTGTAGATAGCGCACTATGGGTGGAATATGAAGATAATGAAAATTAGAAGAGGCAAGGGAAGTATCGGGGCCAACAAACTCAGCATCGTCGACCTTCTAATAATTGGAGTAGGAGTGAACCAATTGTAAGTGGAAATGGCACACAAAACAACTACAACCGAGGTACTAATGAATGCTTCCATTGTGGTAAGCGGGGACATTTCAAACGTAATTGTCTACCCTTGCAATCAACTTTAAGAGGTGATCAAAATCAGTTCCGAACTTCTAATCAATCTCATGACTCAAAGGCAACAACAAAGTACGGGACAACACAGTCCTAGATCTGTGCAACCACAAATCAACCCCACCCGCCCTACAAGAGGAAGGAGTTCAACCAGAGCCCAAGGCCTCAAGGCCGTGTGTTTTACATCACGCCTGCTAAAACTAAAGGACAAGTCGGCAATGCTGTGGTTGAAGGTATGATTATGGTTTTTCATACATGGGCTCGCATTCTTTTTGATACGGGATCATCTTATTCTTTTATCTCTACATCATTTGCTGCATCATTGGGGCTAGAATCTATTCCTTTAGACTGTTCTCTTCTTATAGTTTTTCCTATGGGAGAGTCTACCATGATCACTAAAGCTTGTAAATCTTTTATCCTTTCGATAACGAGTTGTTCCATGGAAATTGATTTGGTTTTACTTGACATGTTGGAGTTTGATATTATCCTTGGAATAGATTGGTTGTCTTCTCGTCAAGCCATTGTAGATTGTTATCGCAAGAGTGTGACATTTCAAGTGGATGATGGGAGTGTTCTTTGCTTTCAAGGAGATATGCATTACATGTCACCTATTTCCCCTCTAAGTTGTTCACATTAAAAGGGAAAAGCTGTAATTTTGTGGGTTTTCTTACTTCCATATGTGGGAAACCAAGTTCTTTTTCACACGTTGTCCCTACTCCGGTAGTGAGTGATTATGAAGATGTTTTTCTAGCCGAGCTGCCAGGATTACCGCCAAAAAGGGAAGTTATTTTTTCTATTGAGTTATATCCTGGCACCGTACCAATCTCTACCTCTCCTTATCGTATGGCACCAGCTGAGCTACGTGAACTTAAGAAACAACTTTAAGAGTTGTTGGATAGAGGATTTATCCGGCATAGTGTGTCACCATAGGGTGCCCCGGTGCTCTTCGCCAAAAAGCATGACGGCTCTTTACGTTTGTGCATTCATCTGAAACTCAACCGAGTCACAGTAAAGAACAAGTACCCTTTGCCACGAATAAATGAATTATTTGATCAGCTTAAAGGCTTAACATTCTTCTCCAAAATTGATCTCCGATCAGGTTACCACCAGTTACGAGTAAAGGAAGAAGACATACCAAATACGACATTTCGAACTCGTTATGGCCACTACGAGTTTCTTGTCATGCCTTTTGGATTGACTAACGCCCCAGTTGCGTTCATGGGTTTAATGAACCGCATTTTTTAGCCATATCTTGATCAGTTCATAATTGTTTTCATTGATGACATTCTCATCTACTCGAAAACTCGATAGCATTACAAGCAACATTTGAGGACAGCCTTGCAACTTCTTTGAGAACGTAAATTGTATGCCAAGCGAGAGAAGTGTGAGTTTTGGATGACTGAGGTGAAATTCTTAGGCCATGTGGTGTCTAAAGAGGATATTTCCGTTGACCCATCTAAAGTGGAATCTATTATAAACTGGGAAAGACCCAGGAATGTCCCGAAAATAAGAAGTTTTCTCGGATTGGCAGGATATTATCGCCGTTTTATGGAGAATTTTTCTCGAATTGCTGCTCCTTTAACACGTTTGACTAAGAAGGGTGTTAAGTTTGAATGGACCGATGAATGTGAAGCTGTATTCCGGAGCTTGCAACAAAAATTGACGTTGGAACCTGTACTTATTATTCCAAACAATGAAGATTGCTATGTTGTCTATAGTGACGCTTCCTCTAACGGCCTTGGATGCGTTCTTATGCAACAAGGAAGGGTCGTAGCATATGGCTTACGCCAACTTAAGCCATATGAGACATGTTATCCGACTCATGACTTAGAAATAGGAGATGCTACTTGTATGGTGCAAAATTTGAAGTCTACTCCGACCACAAAAGTTTAAAGTACTTGTTCACTCAAAAGGAGCTGAATCAACGTCAACGTGGATGGATGGAATATATGGAAGATTATGACTTCACACTACACTATCATCCGGGAAAGGCAAATGTTGTAGCTAATGCCTTAAGCCGTAAACATCAAGCTATAAGCTACAATTGTTCTATTAAGGCATGGAAAACATGGGAAGTTCTTAAAGATTATAACCTGTACTTGGGAGAAAGAAACGGAGCAGTTTATGCTTTCGCTATGGCAGCCCGACCCTCACTTCTTCAACAAGTTGTTGAAGCACAACATTATGACACTGAGTTAGAGAATATAAGAGGGCAGATTTCTAATGGGACTGATATACCAGAATGGTCTTTGTATGCAGATGGAAGTCTACGTTTCAAGGAAAGACTTGTGGTGCCTAATGATGCTATAATCAAATGAGAAGTCTTGAATGAAGCTCATCGTTCCAAGTTCACTATCCATCTAGGGAGCACAAAGATGTATCAAGATTTACGCCGCCATTTTTGGTGGAAGGGCATGAAGAGAGATGTAGCGGACCATGTAGCCAAGTGCCTCACTTGTCAAAAGGTCAAGGCGGAACACCAACGGCCAGGTGGACTACTTCATCCCCTTCCCATTCCCAAGTGGAAGTGGGATTGCATCATGATGGATTTTATAGCTGGATTACCTAGAACACGAAATGGTTATGATTCGATTTGGGTTATTGTGGATGGGATACGAAATCAGCTCATTTTCTTTCAGTTTGTGCCACCGATTCATATGAAATCTTGAGTGAGCTTTATATTCAGAAAATTGTTTGTCTTCACGGCATACCATTGTCAATTGTATCTGATAGAGACCCACGTTTCACTTTAAGATTTGGAAGGGACTGCAATATGTATTAGGGACAAAGTTGGATCTTAGCACGGCATTTTACCCACAAACGGACGGACAATCAGAAAGAGTAATCTAGATTGTAGAAGACATGTTGAGGGCGTGTGCCTTAGACTTTAAAGGCAGTTGGAGTGATCATCTACCTCTAGCTGAATTCGCCTACAATAATAGTTACCAAGCAAGCATTGGAATGGCTCCATATGAGGCTCTTTATAGAAGGCCATGTCGATCACCAATTTGTTGGGCTGAGAAGGAAGAATCCGTTCTAGTTGGACCAGATTTGGTGCAGCAAACCACAGAAAAGATTAAGCTTATAAGAGATCGTTTACTCACAGCTCAAAGTTGATACAAAAGCTACGCTGATAGGAGAAAGAGACCCCTTGAATTTGAAATGGGAGATTATGTTTTTCTCAAAGTTACGCCACATAAAGGGATTTTCAGATTTGGAAAAACAATAGGGAAATTGGCTCCAAGGTACATTGGTCCCTTTGAGATCATTCAAAGGGTATGTGAAGAAGCATACCGATTGGCTTTGCCACTTCAGTTTTCTCATGTGCATGACGTCTTCCACGTCTCTATGCTACGAAAATATCACCCGGACCCCTCCCATGTTGTGGAATGGCACAACTTGCCTTTAAAGGAGGACGCATCCTACATTGAACAACCCATTCAAGTGTTGGATCGGAAGGAGAAGGTCTTACGCAACAAGACCATTTCATTGGTGAAAGTTTTGTGGCGACACCATGATGTAGAGGAGGCAACATGGGAGATAGAATCTGATATACGAATAAGATTTATGCATCTCTTCAAAGATTCAGGTTTGAACTTTAAATTTCGGGGATGAAATTTCCTTAAGAGGAGGAGAATGTGACAACCTTAAATTTTAATTAAGTCTTCCCTATGTTTAGGACCAGAATTACATGATTTTTGATTTAATTTCTTTCTACCTATTTCATGAGTTGCATTTTCAATATTAGTACATCCCAAATTGCTTGGAATTTATTAAAATGCATCAGAAGTCATTAACTTGATTTCTACCTATTTTACACGGTTCGTTAGCAATTTATAATTCCTTAATTGTCTAGTATATATTTTTTTGATCTAGTATTTAATTTAAAGTCATGAGTTTCATTTAATTTTTTCTATTTTAGTCATGGGATGAATTTAGTTGTTACCAAAAAAAAAAAAAAATTAATAATAATAAAGAAATAAAGAAACAAATAAAATGGGTAGGGCCATTAAGTGATTACTTTTGGAAATGAGGGAGTATTGAGATATTAATAGAAGGTGGTTTAGTGGGTTTGCATGTGGCAGCATATAGGGGATCCAGAACTAGGTGTCATTCATATGCAAAAACTTGGAGACACATTTAATTATTTAGCACTACACTTGTAACTAGTTCCCTCATAGTTGTTGCATGCCAAACCAAAAAGAAAACTCTAGCCGTGGGTTGTCTGACAGAGAGAAAGAAGAACAGAAAGTGAAGAAGAAGAAAAAGGGTTCGGACTAAGGCTTAAAATGTAGGCATTTTACCCTCACACCATCTAATCTCACCACCTCCAGTTATTACCTTCAATTGGGTAGGGATTCTTTAACTCTTGCAGCCTTGAGAGTTATTTTTTTAAATTTCTGTTTCCCAATTTAATATTCTATGAAATTATAGTTTTTCTTGCTGCAGGTACATGATTTTCCTGTAGTCAAATGCTTGATTGTAGCTAAGATATTATACATATGCTTGGTTATGATTTGAGTTTTGGTTACATACAAGTATTGCTTATGATTTTATTTCAGAACTCTACACAAGTAAATGTTTTCCAATCAGAACTTAGCATGTTAATAGATTGATGTATATTATCAATTCTACGCCAAAATAATTCTGCTTAGATTCTGGAATGTTGTAATTGAGTTGCCTTCAATTGTTTGGGTTGAATTATTCTATTACTTAACTTTGGGACTAGGAGGGTGATGTCCCTGGCGAAAGGGGTGAGCAATTGCGTATAAGCTACCCGTTGGTGGAAGGCCATAAATGCAATACCCCTAATTTTAAAAGTATAGTCTCGGCATTTTATTATTTATTTTATTGCATTTTTATTTGTTTTATTTGTTTAATTGTTATTTTTGTTTGTTAATTGTTTATTTGATTTTTATTATTTGATATTTGACTTATTTAAATTAAATGGAATTAATTGTATTCTTTGTTTTATTTTCTCTAAATGAATTAAATGTTATAATTTTTAATTTGGAATTGGTTTAATTTTAGTCCTTGCTCTATTTTCTTTAAGTGAATGTAATGTTTTAATTAGGTAACTTAGTTTTATTAATTGGTAGCAGACATAAGATTATAACGTGGGTTTTGTTTTATCGACCGACTAGGGTTTAATTTAATTAGGGTTTCCGTCTTGTATTACCATTAGACTTAGGTTATATTTATGCCTATAAATACACAGTTATAGTCTATAGCAAGGGTTAGAGAAACCCTATTCACGTACCAAAGATACAGAGGGAAACAGAGAGCAGTTGTGAGAAGAACAGAGCAATTGCAATGAGGGTTTCGGCTGGGGATTCAAGTTCAGACCTAGGAGAAGGGGAGGTTGGGTAATAGGAGGCTTGATGGTATTCAGTATTGCCGAAAACTTAGAAACGACGCCGAGATTTCGTTACTGAAATCACAGGCAAGTTCTGTTCTTCCTCTCTCCCGTTGGCTTGTGTTCGATGCACACCTAGATGATCTCTAGGACTTTAACTGGATATTAAATAAATCTTGCATGTTTAATATATGTTAGATTATTAGCCTGTGTGTGTTTAGTTTTGATTGGAACTGTTGTTGCAAAATTGTATCCAGTGTTTAATCGTAAGCATGTTAAATCGGTAATAGTTTGTATGGTTCTTTTTAATGTAAACTATTTTAAATAAATAACTGGGAAGATATAAGATAAAATTTAGACCCTTAGGTTCAGTTTTTACCAAGAACAAAAATGGTGGAAGAGGCCGGAGACGAAGCAGAAGGCTGGAGGAGGTTCAGGCTCTCAGAGAGGGAGATAGCCGGCTCCATGGAAGAGGGAGCCGGCTCCCCCCAAGAGTAGAGCCAGCTCTAGGGGATGTAAAGTTGGCTCAACCCCTTTAGAGCTGGCTCCAAAAAGTTTTGGAGCCTGCTCTATTGTTTTTGGAACCTGCTTTACAAGTTTAAGAGCAGGCTCTCTCACGTTGATGTTTTCTGGACTTTTTTGGGCGTCGTTTGGATGATTTTAATTCTTTTTGAATTGTGTTGTGAGTATACTTGTGATGGCCCAAGTTTTTCAACCCGGTACGTCAGTGATGAACCGAAAGTTGACCCGAGAACGAGTCTAAAATGCAGAAGCAAAAGATAGATCCAAAGTTTATAGAGATATAGACCATCTCTAAGACACCAATGTGACCTTCCAAGAAGTCATAGAGTTCAAGGAGAATGAAAACGGAAACAAAGGTCGAAACGGACAAAAACCATTAACCAGGGGCAAAATGGTCAACTCACAACCCAAAAGAGAAACTTGACTCTAAACAAGTCAAATATGGTGAAAAAAACCTAACTTAATCATTTCATGACTTTCCAAGAGGTTTTAAGAACATTGGACAAGAATCCCACAAAACGCCCTTTTCCAGTTTAAGCGAAAACCGACACCCTCTCACTAAAACTTGAATAACTCCCACTGTGATTGGAATTTGAGAATGGAATTGGTACCATTGGAAATTTGACTCAAAATAAATGAATTTAGGCTCAAGAATCACCCCATTTGGATTTAAAACGAAGGAGTTATGGTCATTTGAAGTCGGAAGAACAGTGCTGAAACTAAACTGAAGCTACTCTCGGGATCTAGCTATTTCGGTCGACCAAAATGACCCATCGGACGACCGAAATGGACAAAATTTCAGTTGAAAACAAGCCTTTAAGGCTTGGTTGGTTTGATACACCAAAAGGAACCATCGGTCGACCGAAATGAGCCATCGGTCGACCGAAATGGCCCTAAATGCTGACTTTGGCTACTAAAAAGTGAAGTTTCAAGGTTCAAACAAAACCCAAAAGGCTTCGGTCGACCGAAATGACTCGAGAAAGTGCACTAACCTCCTGTTATGCATCCATTGCTGAAAGTCCACTTGGAATCCCCCATGGCATGTTTAATTTGCATTATATGCAAGTATGTGATGATGTGAACATGCGCCCAAGTGTAATATGACATTTTAAACATGTTACAGTGGCCTACGGCCTCATTACATTCCATTTACAAGATTTGACATGCCAAACCTCCAAGTTAGGAAAATTACATTTTATAGACAAATCTTAAACATGCTAACACTTGCATGTGAACAAGAAAGCCTTTAAAGAAACTTCAAATCTCCAAACCATCAAAGGTAAATGCCAATCTCCACAACTTGTAACCTGTACCTGAAATATGCCCCAGCAACGTAGGGGTGAGCAATATAAAGCTACTCATAGGAAATGAGCATGCATCGACCTACGTTTTACAATTTCATCACTTTAAGGTGAAACATGCTAAAGGGGCTCATGCCACCTAACATCTATGTCACAATGAGACTCAGGAAACATTCTAAGCTACTCATGCAATTGAAATGAACAACGGTATACAAGTATACATGCTCAAGTATACTAAATAATATTAAAACATGTTGTACAACATACAAACATACATTTCCAAGTATACTAAACCATATTAAAACATGATACACGACACTCAAGCACACATGCTCACAAGTATACTAAATCATATTAAATGGGATAATCAATATCTAACATACATACACAAGTATAAGATATATGTATAGAGTACTCATAAATTGAGTATATAAACATAAGTATACTAAGCTAAACACGTACGCACAAGACAAGTATACATGGCACAAGTATACTAAAATGAAATCCGCACACAAGACGAGCATACTAAGCGTAAGTACACTAGATAGAGTTTAGATACACCAACAAGGATATAAATTCAGGTATACAGTTTCAAGTATACTAAGTGAGATTAAAATACATAAGCAAACACCAATTCTCAAGCAACAAGTAATCCATGATTAACAACTTGAAATTGAATGCGAAAACAAAGTAGAAAGACTAGGACATGTGGTCATTAGACCAAACAAGTGTTTCCGGGTAATTACGACCCACAAGGCACTACCTAGTGTGCACATGCATAAGTTATTCCAGGCAATTACGACTCACAAGGTACTACCTAGTGCGCACTTATGACTTAGAAGACTCTTGTCTCCATACTACAGCCAAACCCTAGCCGTCACGTGAAATATGTCCTTACAAGCTTTCTAAAATCAATAAGTCCGAAACTTATACAAAAATCAATAAGTTAGACTAAACTTATACCAAATCGAATAATGCATAAAACCTTAAAGTTTCAATTCTAAAATGACATACATAATGTCAACACAAGTGTACAATTCATTACACAAGTCAATCATATATTCAATATTGGAAACAAGTTCTCATGAATATAAATTTAACAACAAGGCACTCAATGCTTAAAACATATCCAAGTGACTTCACAACAAGTCCATATCCATGATCTTAACATAGAAACAACTTCTAAAACATGATTAAATCTATGGATAAACAAGATAGAATTTAATTAAATTAAAATAATTAAACTCTCTAGATTTCACATCATTTTCAAATGGCCTCAATTTAATATATGTTAAAGGACAAATCATGGTCATTATATATATTCATTCAAAAGCTTAATTAAGCCAATGAAACCACTAAATAGACTTTAATTAATTCTCTTAATTAAAGTCTTTAAATTTTCAATCTCAACCAAATGCTCTTAAATTAAAGTATGTTAAACAACATGCCAAAACTTAATTTAGAAGCATAATACAACTCAATTTCATGCAAGGTATAGCCATGAACTTTAATCTTTCACAAAAGATAAATATTAATTAAAAAGTGCTATTCTTATTTAATTAATTCCAATTTAATATATGTTAACAAATATATTAAAACTAAACTTTCTAGCATGCCACAATTCAAATCAAAGTTATATATCATCATGACTTTTAAATCTTATACAAAGAAATAAAAATTTATAACTTTCTAGATTTGATACAAGGCATACATATATGTTGTATAATCATAGTAAACACATAATACAACACACAAATAATCCTAAAACATTCCCTACCTTCATTTGAGATGAAATCTCAAAGCCCCACCAAAATGAAAGTGCTCCGAATCCGACGAAACTTCTAGGTTTTGTCGGGGACAACACCGTGAACATAACCCCCACGGAAGCCCCATCAAAATCACAACTTGACTTCAAACTCGAACTCAAGAAATGGCCAAAACTGAATTCTAATAAGGGGGAATGGTAGAGCACATCGAGGGGAACAATAAACGTTAAGGCCGAAGACTTTTCATCAAGGAAAAGTGGACCAAAAGAGGAGAGAGAAGATGGCAGCCATGGCTGCCATGGATTCTGGCCAGAAGAGAGGAGAGAGAGATAAAACTCATATATTTTCTCTTAAGTGCTCCTATTTATAGAAAAACCCTAAAAGTGCCCCGAACGGGCCCCACCGCGTCCGGAAAAGTTAAATTCATGAAGACGCACTCAAACGGCAAAACTCTATGAACAAAAAAGATTTAAAATGAGAAAATAAGAACAACGAAAGAAACGGCATCAAAA